AAATCAATTGAATTGAGTTTCGTTTTATTTGCTGAAATTCTTTGCGAGAAATCAAATTAGAAGATCCCAGTTGGTTGGGTGGTTAGATTGTGAGAGGTTTTGGTTAAGAGAAACACTGGAGAAAGGGTCTGCGATTGAAAGAAGAAGAGGTGAACGGAAGAGAAAGAAATTTGTAAGGGTAAAGTTGGCATTTCTTGCCCTATTTTCGCTTTCATCAACATTTTATGTTTAGTCAACAAATAGTTGATGTACAAAAGGACTAAAGTGTTACAAATTTTGTAAAGCAAGGGAGGGCATGGTGGCCAACTAGGTTAAAGAAAGCCACTTTGGGGGAACCTTTGACAACCAAATCCCTTTCCGAGGAAAGTCAACTTGTTAAGTGCAAATAATTCATCAGCTTTGTGTTAAATCTATGTCCCACAAGCCACATTTGGTTCCATACCACAGTTTTTGTTATTCTCAGGCTTGAAGGTAGTATAAAATTAGCTCTAGAAGCTTCTTTGTGCTTCCAGTGTAAGAACTCATTGTAAGTTCTTAATGAGAATTGTCAATTGTCATTATATTCATATATAGAAATAGCCCCTCTAATAACTTATGTTACATGGCTTGTTCTAAATGTATGAAGTACACGTGTTGGACACTTGACATTTGAGTAAGGGTATGAGATGTGTGCCCAACATGTTTAGTTGAACATTAACTTAAGAAACATATTTAGTAATTTGAGTTGACCACAAAGGTAGACATAAAACCACATAGTATGCATGAAATACTCTATGGCACCTTGTGAACACCATTTTACCTTAGAAAATAAAAGAGGTATACTAAGAAAGAAATAATTTGTCGTGTACCCAAGTCCACGTAACATTGCTAATAACTATAAACATGCATGAAACAAAATCTTCCCTAAATAATAGCATTATTCATACACTTTGATATGAATTATACCGTTATTCTGGTTGTCTAGCTGATGTTGCACTGATATGAATTTTTAAAACACTTGAGTTACTCATAGAATGATTGAAGGGCTGAAAGGCTACTTGTTGTTTTGAATTGTTTGGTCAAGTTGAAGGGAATTTCAAGGTAGTGTAGTTTCAAGGCAGTGCAGCTTCAAGGCTGCTGGTTTGTGCTGGTTTTTCTCTGGTTGTCTTGCTGGTTTGTGCTGGTTTGTCTTGATGGTTTTGTTTTTTTTTTCACTTTTGCTCTGTTTTCTTGTTTGTTGGTCTCTCACAAACTAGGAGGTTGGTGCTTGCTATAGCTCCAAGCTCCTCTTTATTGATGTAATTTATTATACATTGTATGTGTTTCATCAATAAAGTTTTTTTGCAGACTAAAAAAAAATATTTATACACTTTGTGCATGTTTCTTTCCACTTATTTGCGACTTATTCAATTTCAAATTTGAAAATGCATGCTTTACTAGTTAAACCAAAAAAAAGTTAGGTCGTTTGCTCTACTTAATTGGTTTTCACCTCAAAATGCATAAAATAGGCTGAATCGGCTCCTATTTCAATACGTGTTGGATCGATCAATATACCAATAATCAAGTCTTCAGTCTACTAGTGGAATGCATCGCATCAACCTGGGAGCATTAGCCAATCTGGTACATCAATACATGTTCCTATGCCCATTCCAATCTTGTCTAACTTCACTAGCTCCCTCTTCTCAACCCGTATCTTGTTCATTCTAAAAATACATCTTCCTATTCCATTTTTTCTTGAATCTCCTTTAACGAAAGAAATAGAAGGTCGAGAAGGAATACCAAAATCTAGTTCACTTGCTAGTCTCTTTGTTTCAATGGCTGAATGGTTAAAGAGCCCAACATATACAAGAGGCAAATTTGATTAACTTGGAGTGTTTAGTTCAATGGCTGCTCATAGAATTTATACATATAGCTTGCCCTTATACCTTATGGGGCATTTCACTCGCTCAACACTTGTTCTTCACTTGCTAGGTGGGGAAAGAAAAGGGATAGATGACTGAAAATCCCGCTTAGAGATTGCAACTAAAGTTAGAGTAGGAGTACCATATATCATCTCTTATTGAGGCCTTGATTACCTGCCAATTCCATTTGATCCGTTGCTCTACAACTAAGGACGAGATCACCATCACATGAGCTTTGAAGTCCTAAAATGTTCTCTTTAATAGGGCCGCCTTGACCAGGCTCTTCATCGTAGAAATTTTACCAGAAAAACTAGAGCACGACATAAGCTAAAAGCATCTTTGTTTTTAAGTGGAAACGGTGGTGTTCAAAGCATTGTTCTACATTGTCTTGTTATTGTTGTGCTGCAAATAAATGAAAAACAAGTTAGAAAACCAAGTTCTAGGGAGGTCACTCAAGCACACTACAAGGGTGTTCTACAAAGACGTGTAATTTCCACTCAAAGTGTGTTTAAAGTCCACTTGAGCAAAGGCGATAATTCATCTTCCGCAAAGGTTCCACAGCTACCACCTGAAGCGCATTTTAGCCTAGAGACCAAATCGGAGATCCTACTAAGCACACTTGAAGACGATCATATGGATTTCAATCCAATTAGAATTTGGTTTAGGTTTTCTTTTCATAGAAAACATGAATTCCAAGATCTTTTGAGAGAGAGAAACCTAGTGCATTCATAAGATTTCAAAAGCTTTATGAAACACATGCTCCTAGATCTTTGAAACAGATCTGAATGCATTTCCACATTATATTGGGAGTTTCTTAATCGAGTGTTTCGAAAAAAAAAACACATAAATTTGCATTGTGCATTAAGCTTTGTCCTTTGGCATAATGGGATTCGAAGTGACGACCAGTCACGCATGTCTCTGTTCATCTGTGTATATGGATGTTTGATAAACAAGCAAGGTTTAAAAATGCAGTGTTACGTAACGGTTTCAGCGGAAGGCACCACGCGTTACCCTCGATTTTGCAGTGTGATTGAAATTCACAGGTGTATCGGCCGTTACAGCCGTCGTAGCGGTCGTAACGGTGCCGTAGTGGCCCATTACGCACGTTACAGGGCTTTTTTAGGTGATTCTTTTCAAAAAAAAAAAACAAAAGAAAAGGTTGAAAATGTTGTACATACTTTTAATATAATTGAGCTTTTGTCTTTCGTCTTTACAGCCTGTGAACCACTAAAGTGAGATTCCATAAGTGTGTCGGCCATTCACAAATTTTCAGATCAGAAATATGGATGAGTGAGAAATAGAGAGAGAGAAAAGAGAAGAGAGAAGAGGGAAGAGGGAAGAGGGAAGAGATGAACCTGTATTGAATCTTCAAGGCTACCTCTGTTCTGTGTTGAAACCAGTGACTCTCCGGCTGCCCCTTTGTGTTGAGATGAAGTAAGTGCATAGTTTGATCTATTGCCTTTTTTTATTATTTTGTTTGTTCAGCTGCCTTTCTGGCTAGCTTCTTGGGGAAGATATATATCATTTATTGACCTTGAGAAGATATATAGCATTTGTTTTTCTTTGTGTGTGGTCTCCAACTGGCAAAATTTTTATTTTATTTATTTATTTATTTTTTAAACAATGATCTCCAGGCTTTAAATTTTGTAAAGCCTACAAAATTTATGTGATATATTTAATAATTTTAATTTAAATATATATGTAGAGCTATGCACTTATTTTTAGTATTTTATATACAATAATTCGTGATTGATTATTTTTTTTTTACAATATCTAAAAATTATAACACCTATAATTATATTAATACATTTTATATATGTCAGTGTTTATTGATTTTGTTTTTCTTGCAGGTTATTCAAAAACATAACAAATACTCAAGTGATTGAAGCTCAAAAAACAACTATGTATGCATTTTTTTCTTTGTAATTTATTTTTTAATTTTTATATGATTACATTAGCATGTAAACTTCAATGTATAAATAGTGATTACATTTGTTTTTTATAATCATTTCATTTAATATTTAATTATAAATATTTTTTATTTTGTTATTGTAATGTGTTGTGACAACAATGTTGAAGTCACTATTTTTTTTTTAAATATCTTTTTAAAAGAAAAAAAAATCAATACCTCAAAAAACATTTTTTATAACTTATTTTTTAATTTTTATATGATTATATTAGCATGTAAACTCCAAATGTATAAATAGTTGTTGCATTTTTTTTAATAATCAACAAATGTATAAATAGTTGTTGCATTTTTTTTAATAATCAATGCATTTACTATTTAATTATAAATATTTTTTATTTTGTTATTGTAATGTGTTGTGACAACAATGTTGAAGTCACTATTTTTTTTTAATAAATATCTTTTTTTTTTTTATAATCATTTCATTTAATATTTAATTATAAATATTTTCTATTTTGTTATTGTAATGTGTTGTGACAACAATGTTGAAGTCACTATTTTTTTTAAAAAATATCTTTTTAAAAGAAAAAAAATCAATACCTCAAAAAAAAATTCTTTATAATTTATTTTTTAATTTTTATATGATTATATTAGCATGTAAACTCCAATAAATAGTGGTTGCATTTTTTTTTTATAATCATTTCATTTAATATTTAATTATAAATATTTTTTATTTTGTTATTACAACACTATTAAAGGCACAATTTTATTTTAAAAATATATTTTTTTAAAATAATACCTCAAAAAAAATTCTTTATAATTCATTTTTTAATTTTTATATGATTACATTAGCATGTAAAATCTAAATGTATAAATAGTAGTTGCATTTTTTTAGAATTATTTTATTTAGTATTTAATTTTAAATATTTTTTTAATGTTAAATTGTAATGTGTTGTGCCAACAATTTTTATGGCTAAATTTTCTTTTTTAAAAAAAAAAAATCAATAGTTCAAAAAAAAGATCTTTATAATTTATTCTTTAATTTTTATATGATTACATTAGTATATAAAAACTAAATGTATAAATAGTGGTTGCATTTTTTTTTACAATCATTTCATTTAATAAATGTAAATATTGTGTATTTAGTTAGTTCAAGTTTTGCTAAAAAATAATTTTGTAAACATTTAAAATAAATTAAAAAAAATGTATTAATGATGCAGAATTCAAATTCAAAAATGCCACGACAAAAGGGTGCCAATGATGAACCCCCAAGTGATGATATTGGTTGGAAATTCGGAACTCAAGTTGAAGGCACTAGGTATCATATTATTTGCAAATTTTCTGGACATCACATTAAACGTGGGATTACGCGTTTCAAACAACATTTAGCACATCAAACGGGGCAAGTGCATTCTTGTCCTAATGTTAGCAGAGACGTGATGCAAGAAATGATGAAACATTTACAAAACAAGAAAATGAGTAAAGCAGACAAACAAAAGAGAAAAGTTGAATTGGAAGCACATATTAGGAGAGATGATCTCTGTGATGAGGATGAATGGGGAGATTTTGTAGATCTTCGAGACGATGACTCTGACTCTAATCCAGAGATGACCAGGGCTAGACAAGCAAGTATTCGTTCACAACAACAATGGGAGGAAAGGCAATAATTTAGACAAGGTGTTGCAGGTCATGGATCACAATACGATGTAGGTGGTAGTTCTGGTGCAGGGGGTAGTGGTCAAAGAATGCCAAAAGGGTAAGGTATTGCTAATGTTTTTTCATCGATCAGAATCCGTACGTGAAACTGGTGGGGGTGGACGTAATTGGATTAAGCCGAATGCTCCTGAAGCAAGGTTGAGGGCAATGGATGTAGAACTCCAAAAGAGCAAGAGTACAAAGCAGTGAAAAATCTCTACAATAAATTTACAGAAGTTAAGAGAGAGATTGGGACGGGCAATGTCCAAGTTTATACTCTATAATCGTATTTCATTCAATGCAGTTGATTTAGAGTATACACAACCCATGCTTGATGTAGCTGCTGAAGTAGGGCCAGGAGTAAAAGGTCCTAGTGCTTATGAAGTTTCTGAAGTATATTTGGGCATGGAGCATGATGAAATGACTGAATGGATAGGATCATTCAAGGGAATTTGGGCAGAGGGAGGTGTATCCATCATGTGTGATGGTTGGAGCAATCTAACTTGGCAACACATCATCAACTTCTTAGTGTACTGCAATAGAGGTACTATATTTCACAAATCAATTGATGCCTCTAATATTATTAGTAGGACTGTTGAATATTATTTTGGGTTGTTAGATAAAGTTGTTGATGAAATTGGAGAACAATACGTTGTTCAAGTTGTAACTGATAATGAACCTGCACTGAAAGCTGCCGGTAAAATGTTAATGAGAAAAAGGAAACATTTATATTGGACAGCTTGTTCAGCACATTGTATCGATCTCATGCTAAAAGACATAGCCAATAAGAAAAGTGTAGCAAAGGTGATTGAAGATGGTAAAACCATCACCAATTTCATTTATAATAGTGGATGAGTGTTGGATTTAATGAGATAATTCACTGGAGATAGAGAATTGATTCAACCTGCCATCACTCAATTTGCTACAAATTTTATTGCCATTGAGAGTATTGTTAGATATAAACAACAATTGAGAGCTATGTTTAATAGTGATGAGTGGAAGAATTCTAGATGGGGGAAAGCGAAGACTGGGCAGCTTTACAATGTGAAAAAAATTATTTTGGGAAAGGGGTTTTGGTAGAAAGCAACAAACCTTTGTAAAGTTCATGAGCCCCTAGTCAGAGTATTACGGTTGGTTGATGTGGATGAGAAGCCAACAATGGATTTCATATATGAAGTTATAGATAGAGCAAAGTTGGCAATTAAAAGAGATTGTCGCTACTACACCGAGTATTGGAAAATTATTGATACTCGATGGTCTTTTCAATTGTATCAAGATTTGCATGCGGCTGGTAAGTATTACGATTTCAATTATAAAATGTATATTTATTTACAATTATTAATTTTCTTCTTATTTTTTAAAGATATTTTTTAAATCCTCAATTCCAATATGGTGTTACCTCATCCAATGAAATGATAAGAGAAGCGATGGATGGACTTAAAAAAGGAATTACCAGACTAGAGCCTAATATGGATGCTTAAGTGAAAACAACAAATCAAGTACGTACCAATTATTTAAATTTTAATAGTAATAATCTACTTTTGCAAATGTTACTTGTAATGATTGTCCAAATTGTAGTTGTTGCTATTTCGAGATAAATAGGAAACTTTTAGCACTCCTTTAGCACAAAGAGCATGGAAACAATCAAATCCATTTCAAAATTACAAATTTACAATATATAAATACTTAAATAATTTTCTATCATATTTTGACTTATGTCTAATGTAATGTAATTTTGTGCAGCTGAGTGGTGGATTATTCATGGCAGTTGTGCTCCTGAACGTCAAAAAATAGCTGTGAAATATTAAGTCAAACCACCCCATCATCTCACTGTGAACGTAATTGAAGTACTTTTAGTCTCATCCATACGAAGACGAGGAATAGATTGAAATATAAGAAAATTCAAAGATTAGTCTTCATCACCTACAACATGAGATTAAAATTGAGACACGTTAAAAGAAACAGCCAAGAGGAGATTGATAGGAGTTTTAATCCTATTAACTTGGATTACATATTTGAAGAAGGTGATCCAATAAGTCCATGGATAGAACAAAGGGAAAATCCTTTACTAGATGGTGTGGATAATTCTAAATGGCTAGATTTGGTCTCAGATGATGATGGTGGTGGTGGTGGTGACGACAGCAATGGCGATGGCAATGATGGAAACGATGGTGGTGGCAACCATAGATATCAAGCTTGACGCACTCCTCAAAGCTCAACTCCTACTCCAACTCAAAGTGATAATAGTGGTGGTTTAACACCATCTGATAGAGGAGGTGATGATGGTGATGGTGAAGGCACTTCTCACGGTGACGGTGGTGGTGGTGGCAGCGACAATGGTGGTGATGGCGGTGATGGTACTAATTTTGGTGCAGGAAGTGAAGATTTTACTTGAGGATTTGGATTATGTGATGTTGGGGAACATTATGATATTGGAGAACCTGTTGCACCTTTACCCCAACTACCTAGGAGGTTTCGTAGTAGCGATACACTTAGGGATGAAAGAAGAATAAGAAGTAGAGAACAACAGCTTAATTCATCTGATAGTAGTCATAGTTATCCATATCACCCTTACCCACCCTATAGCAACGATAGCCAGAGCTATCCTTACCCATCTCAACAAAATTATCCTTGGCCCCCTCAACAACATGGTCCTCTAGGATACGGTTTGCCAAATTATCAACAAGCCCAAGAAGAGTATGTTGATCCTTTTCAGCCAAGGTATCCATTTTCTCTCCCAATGCACGAAACAGAAAGGGATGACACGATGAGCACATTTACTTATATATTTCCTACTGGATGGGATGAAGGTAGTAGCAATCAAGCTCAACAATCTGATTCCCCAGATGCACCACGTCACTCATTTTGGTGGGGTGAAGGTAGCAGCAACAATCAAGCTCAACAATTTGAATCCCAAGATGCACCACGTCACTCATTTTGGTGGTGACATTATGTAATTTTAGTAGTAACATTATGTAAAATGTACTTTCTGTTATTTGTGATTTATGTTATGATGTTATGTACTTTGTCAAGTTCTTTCATTAAGGATGTATACTTTTTAAAAATTATTTGAGTTAAAATGCACATATGCTTCCACAAGTATAATAATTAAAAATAATTTTATACATCTAAGTCCAACAAAAGAAATTTTTGCCACAAGTGTAATATGGATTTATGACATCTAAAGTCATTAATTATTGAAATAAAATGTAAAAAAATTCATTTTCTAGTGATTTAAAAATATGAAATATATTGGATCATACTTAAAAATTATGAAAAATTTATCAAAATTTATTTTAAAACCCAATAAATATGATTCTAAAAAATAATATGCGTATCGATAAGTTTTTTTGCAAATTGTGCAAAAAATAAAAAAAATTCACAGGTCCGGTAACCGCAACCGTTACGTTGTGACCTTTACACCCCCACAACCGCAACCGCGCCACCGCTACCATTACAGCGACCGCAACCGCTTTCCAGAACCTTTGTTTATGAACATGCCTTTTTTCCACAATTTTTGGCAACTATTGTCGCTTTGCACTTGCATTGCAGCAACAAAATAGCTAACCAAACATTGTTTCTAACAAATTGTCAACTGTGCCCTAAGCCTTTGGAAAAAATTCTGAGTCTCTCTCTTGATGTCATACCGACGAAAGTCTGAATTATTCTGTAACTAGGGATAGTATGTAGCCATAAATTTCAAAAGAACACCTACTATATGATTATAATAATAATGATGATAAAATCACCCACCCTAGATTGAAGCATTGTAGAAATCTAGATGTGCTATAAAAATCGCAAAAGAAAACTGACACAAGAGTCATGCAGAATATATCGATCTTGCTAAATAATATGGACATTACCTCCAGTTCTCTTGAAGTATATTTTGGATCCAAATTTGAAAAGTGGACAAGTGTTCCTTGCTCATGTGCACTCTTCATTCTTTCCTCCCAAGGCTGAATCGCGACAGAAAGAAAAAAGAAAATGCTATATTTACAGCCTCAATGGTTGTATCCATAGCCCTCCCTCTCAATGATTGAAAAAAGATACTTGAAGGGGCTGAATATAAAATGGGTCGGATCCAAGCCTTGGGCCGGCCAAATCCATTAACGCCCGAATCCAAATGGATTAGATGAATATATGGGCAAGCCAATTGAGCCCAACTCCATGATCAACAGTCTACTCAAGTCCTCAAGCACTTGGGCCCAACCTGCAGTGGAAAGGCTAGCCCAGGCGCGCTACTGGGCTGGGCCAAGCTGCAAGACCTAATCTATGAACCGAACTAAAGTGGGCCGAGCCCACACTAAGATATCCGAATGGACCAGCCCATCCCAACAGAAGCCTTGTATAGGGCCGAACTGGGGCGCTAAGGTACCGAGCTGAGGGAATCTCGCAAAGAAACGTAGACGTTATGAGTGCGTGCATGTGCAAGTTGCCACCTCAGCTGGTCCTCTACACCTAGAATCACAGAAGCTATTAAACCAGAAGAATGAAGTTTGTTATCAGCATGATTACAATGAATATATGCATTCTATAACAACCACCCGGTGTTCCCCCACCTTCGAAAATGCTAAAAGGAAACCTGGCAGCACTAGAGCTTCATGAAACCATCTTGAGAAGCAAGCAAGGAACACTATATATACTACATGAACTTCACATTGAAGGTAACTGAACTGTTCCCAGCTAAACATCACTTACTTACAAACTCAACCCTTCTTCTCCGATCATTGATTCCCACACCGGAGCAGTTATCTGGCCAACCCCGGCCGAGCAGCTCTTACGGTGCATCTTATGGCAGGAACCTCAATCCCTGGATAGTCCAACCGAGTGCGGAGCCTCGATCCACTTTCATCTAGTACGGAATCTGGTACGCACAATACTATTATCAATTTTGTCTTTGATATAAAAAAGGAGAGGGACAGATTGCAGTATATGCCAGCATTATCACAGAAAAATATGTACACATTGGCTGGTGCTTCCAACACTACACTGATTTAAAAAACAACAAATGGTAAAAAATCATAACCACATGCTCACAATATAAAATAAACTAACAATGGAATAAATCGACTTTAATTCCTACAAGCTAGCATAAGTACAGAAAGTTTGCTATAGATGCTGGAACTAACAAAAAATTTGTGAAAAAAAAAAACAACCTAGAAATAAAAATAATGGAAAGCTTCTAGATAGGTCTACAATCTTAGAGGTTATGAACAATTATTATGGTTAGGAAAGAAATGAGCCATCCTTATTTGTAGGGTGTCTCTAAATGCACCCCAGAAAAATGGATGGACACCCCATCTCAAATTTGAATTTCCTTCTTCTTTGGGGTCGTGGGGGTGGGTGGCAGCGGAGGTGAAAGGGGGCCATGCTCACTGGAAAGGGTAAGAGGGAGACAGGGCTGTCGACTACGAAATGGGAAGAAGGGGATTTCGTTAGTTTTGTATATGGGACCAAACGACAGTGTTTTAAGCTTTATGAATTGAAGCATGATCTGAGCCGTGAAATGAGAAAAAGGCTGCATGGCACAATCTCATTACATGGACTATTCGGTCAGATTTTTTTGAAAAACTGGGGAGAAGCCAAAGAGAAGATAGAGAATGTATATTCATGGCACAATGGAGTGCTAATGTCAAAATTTTAAATGAGACTAAATTCTTAATTACTAGAAAATGTAGGATAGGAAAATAATAATAACAATTGAAACACATCAAAAATATAATATGAGGGAGTAAGGACCACTCACAAGTGCCCTAAACCATTTGCTTCTCTCCTACAATCATGTTAAAAAGAAAACATGTAAGAAACAAAACATAATTTCAACAAATAGACTATTGCAATACCAATGCAAGAAA